TTAAAATGTAGTCCCATTTCGTTTCAATTGCAGCCCCAATTCCATTTCGATTTTAGCCTTAATTTTGGCCCAATCCGCCCCCAAATCAAAACGACCCAATTTGATTTCTCACCCGACCCCTGACCCAATTGCTAAACCCGCCCGGGGTTCTTTTAAATCCAGGCCGTTGATCCTTTTGATCAACGGCCACAAATGATTCTTTCCTTTTTNTTCGTGTACTATCTATTAAGGATTTACGTTGAAGAAGTTTATTATTGATGTATCAGTCAGCTGAGCTTAGTGGAACGACTTGGTACAACTTCTCTGCTGTTCAGCTTGGTCTTGTGGTATGCTTTCTATGTTGCATATTCCATGTGTAATTATTTCTCTGACATACCAAATTTCTAAATATCAGTTCTTCTTCTTTCCCTTGGATATAGGTTAGTGGTTCCCTTTATGGAGCTCTTATTGGCTCCATACTTGCCTACCCATTCGCTGATTTCTTAGGTGAAGTTCACTTACTTTAAGTTTTGTTGAGCCTCAAACTTATTCAGAGATAATTGTAGCTAATTTTTTGGGTTAACTTCTGTAGGGAGGAGGAGGGAACTGATCATAGCAGCCCTTTTATATGCGGCTGGTGGTTCACTAACTGCCTATGCTCCAGGACTAGGAGCACTTTTGTTGGGCCGGCTTGTCTATGCCATGTTCTTGTGTTCTTTCCTCGCATGTCTGCTCCTATGTATGTTTTGCCATATTATGCATGTTCTTCTAATTTTTGTGTTATGTTCTTTCTTCTACCGGGCTCTATAAGCATGCTTTACATGTCTATCTCGTATGTTTCTTTACTGTATTTTACTAAGCTTCTAATCCTTGTTTGCCTTTACTGGACTTTTGTTTGAACTCTAAGCAGGTTCCGTCTACTGTTTTTCCTAAACCTATATCACTTTTTCTCTCCTGAACTTGTTTGAGTGCCATGTTTTGCCTAAATGTATTCCCTGTGTTTCAAACTTGCTGCTCTCTCTGTTTGTTTTCTCATAAGTCTCTGAAAGAGACTACTGAGCCTGTTCTATTTGTTGTTTTCTCATCTATGCATCTGCTTCGAGTCAGAAACCCTAGTATTTGGGGTTTTTTGGCAGGCTTGACTTTGTGTTTAGTCTAGGGTTCCATTCAGAACCCTTGACTCTCTTTTAGGCTCATTCTGAGTCTACGAACCTAACCTTCTTGGTAACTCTGATTTTTTGCTAATTTTACGACAACTCTCTCTTGTCTCACATGTCTGTATGCTTTTTATATGACAAATTCTCTTCTTTCAAAAGGCCTTTGTCCAGCTTGTGATTGATTCCGAGTTCCTTTTTAAAAGGTTTTGTACTGTTGATTTTCTTTAAATTAAACCCCTTCTCACCTTTTCTAGCTGGATTCATTTACACTAAGATTCGAACCCTGATTTTACTGGCTGTTGATTGATTGTCTTTCCTTGTTCTGCCCAAACCGTGTGCTACTATACTATTTCCTTAAATAAACTGCTGTGTATTTGTCCCTATTACACTGCTTTAGAAAAGATTTTTAAAACGAATCCTTTCCTTATTTATTTTTGCCCGTTTGAATCAAATCCCTTAACCAAAGGGAAACAACTTGTGATTGATTTCAAAACTATTCTCTTACCTTTTTCTTACTCATCTTCTGCACTATAAAAGGGCCTGCCCTTTTGCACTAAAGGAGAGTTTTACAGAGGCTTTTCACAGACTTTTCCTACACACACGAACATAAAACACCATTTGAGTTCACAATTCAATTTCACTTAAAACTCTCTCTTTTGATACTTGTGCTGCTGTGGACTGTGTTTACTTTACTTTCTTCTGCACTTCTTTTGCTTCTCTACTGGTATGTCTCAGTTAGTTTACATGCCTCAACAACAATGTGTTTAATTCTGCCTATTTCCTTTAGTTGATATTTGTTTCCCTCTCCTTTATATTTCTGTATTTAAGTTATGTGTGTAATCAGTTGTTTGTCATGAATTTGATACTCTGTGAATCCCCTTTACTTTATTGTTCAGGGCATAGCAGCACCCCAATATTGCTGTCTATGATCCTGAACTGGGTTCATTGAACTCCTTAACTCAATCAATTCCCACTTCCCATTCTCCCCATTATGTGCTTGAGCCTTGACTTAGGTCTGATAGTGTCCTAATCACTATCCAGACCTTTGTCTGACCATCAAAAGGTCTGCTCCTAACTTGTTCATCTAGCAAGTGGTCAGGGGTGTGCCAGCCTACCTTATGGCTAGGTATGACCACCACTTGTCATGGCCCCTTAATTCCCTTTCACTTTGCACTTACTCCTAGCTATAAGTTCTGCCCCTCTCTTGCAAGCCATGCTTTGGGACCCCTGAGCTCCCTCTGAACTTGGATGCCTGAGGGCTGGCTATTCCACACTGCACCATCCTGTTCATAATGGCATCCTGGGTGTAAGCAATGCCTGGAATCCCTGAGGTTCCTTGAAACTTTGAAACACCCTGGATAATGAGAAGGCTTTGGAGATCTGGACCCCGGAGTTGGTTAAATACATATTATTGGACATTAAGATTGAATTAGGCCGCTTGGATCTAGCTGTTAGTTTTTGATGTATTTTTATTATTTCAGTTGATTCATTGGGTTGTAATAACTTGTATAGAACTCGGGGAATCTAGTAAAAGGGTGTGGGAGGGGTTTTACTTTCTTGCATCAATAAAGGGTAGATATCATGACTTTAGGACTTTAAATTTTTTACTAGAAACACTGCACATAAGATGGTTCGATGTTTCTGATTCAAGTCACCTAGATACCATGCCTATAGGGTTTAACGTTTGATTATGATATAAGTCATCTAGAAATCCTACCTATAGGACCTTAACGTTCATGTAATCAGTGCATATAGAAATCATGCCTATAGGGAATGCATATGCATTAGGCAAACCGTAGGGTAATTAAATAGTTACCTCTTCTTACCAGTTCTTAACAGACTTTTTAAAATCAGATATAGATATCATAGGATTCCGCATCAAGTTCGTCCGATTCTTCTTAAGCAATAACAATTTGTTAACTGGTCTCTAATGTCTTAATGTTTTCAGCCTCAATCTTTTGACGAAAACTCTTTTGAATCAGTATACATTTGAGTTCTTCAAATCAGCACCTCTTCTGAAATGGTTTCTTTCTAAAATTCTGCCTAAACATTTTCCAACTAAGTTTTGGTCTTCCTGAAATTGTCTTTAAAACAGTTCTGCAGTTTACTCTTTCCTTAAGTATTTCTGACTCTGGGACTCCTTTTATGGTTTATACTCATGATTCTCTTAAAACTTATTTCTATACTGACTGCACTCTGTACTTTCCGGCATTAGACTACTTTTCTAGAACCCGTACTTTCTAAATCACTCGCTTAAAATACCTTAAGTTCTGACGATTGGATCCAAGTTGCCTAATGTGGGCTTCTTGTCTAAACGTATGTATCGAACCAGTCCGCTCGCTGCTTAATTTTTAATTTTAAAGACCAAACCAGTATGTGTAAAGGCATGCTAAACTATGTGTTATCTGATTTACGGGGTTTATGTGAGCCTTACCTATTTTTCTGTTCATTCCCCCTACTTGTTACTTGTTTTTGAATGTCGATTAGAATTTTTGTCCTTTAAAACTCCATAAACTCCCCCATCCCTTTCTCCCCCTTTTAGGATTAGTAGTCCTAATGCCCCGGGACTGATAGCTTGGGACGGGTAATAGCATGCGATAGGCAAACGATACCATTCCGCGCTCCAATACCTTAACGGGGTGGGAAAGGGTAGACATGGAGATGATGATTACACGATAACACTATGCGTACAATTGAGTACCAGTGTTGTGCGAATGATCCATGTAATATATAAACCTAGGACCCCCTCCCTCTTTATTAGTTTAACAATTTTCTGAATCTTAAAAAGCTGTTGCACTTTCGACTTCTGTTTTTTCACATAATTTTCAGATTTTCCGCACTAAGTACTTGACTTCTTCCTACTTGCACTTTTATCTAAACTGCTCCTTCCCTAAAATTCAGCACTTTTTTTAAAACCTTTTGTGCTCCTTATTTGTAATAGTTTTCTCGTATTTGCAATGCTTGCTTGTTTACTTGTTTGTTTGCATTCAAAGTCACAATTGTAGCATGGCTGGGAACCACACTAGTGGATCTTAAGGGGTGCCTAACACCTTCCCCTCGAGATAATTTCTAGCCCTTACCCAAACTCTGGTTCTTCATCTCAAATTCTTCCTTAAAGTGTCCTAACACACTATAATCATTAGGTGGCATCTCTCCAAACTCCAAAAACCCAATTCTCGCAAGGGAATAGAGTTGTCCTCCCGAATGTCGTGAACCCGATTCCGCGAGGAAAAAGGGGGCATCGACAGCATGGCGACTCTGCTGGGGAATTCTTTAGGCTTTTACCATTGCATGCTATATGTGGCTTTATTGCTTTTGTTTAATACCTTTATTTGAAACTGACTTGTTTCTTTTTCTTTAATTACTGCTTTCCGTCAACACTGTTGTAATTTTTTTTTTGAGCAATCATTCTTGTATGAATGTGAAAATACATGTCAATATGTTTAATTCTTGTAAACTGCATCTTCAACATCGTATTCCACTCGTGCCAAACAAATACTATAGCAACGCTTATAATGAGTTGTTGTGCTCTTCCAATACTGTCACCCCCTAAATTTGGCAAAGGCATATTTGCGGTAAAACTAGTCGATCAGCGGTGCAGTCGACGGTTCCGTGCCTTTCCCTCTTGAGTTGTCCGCTCAAGGGTACCGGTCTAATACCCAATAGAAACCTCATTCTAATTAAATTGTACATGCATCATGGTCAAACCTAGCCGAGTCAGTTATGTTGTCCACATATTGACTCATTAAGATAGCCTTGTCCAAAGTCCATCGGGTTTCCCTGAAACCCAAACGGACGTCTCCACGTTCTGTGCATTTATTTGGAGAACTTAAGTGCTTGCTATGCCAATTATTGATTTAAATAGTCGAGTCTGGCGGGGGTAAGGGCCTAACACTCTGTTTTGCAAAAAATGAGGCACGAGATCCCCAGATTTGGCATGGTGACCAACATTCATCCGAGGCTGCTGAGTTGGTGGAATGACCTCCATTCTAGTGATCAAACATTTGTCCGCAAATACTTGGGGAATCTGCCTTCCCTCCTAGGAATTCAACCCAACAACAAGAATGATAGAAGCTAATTGCTTTCATTAAGTCGCTGTTGAGATTGGAACCATTATCAGTGATGATTGATTCTGGAATCCCGAATCGGCAAACAATACGATCACGAACGAAATCTGCCACAACTTTCTTAGTCACTGCCTTGTATGATGCTGCTTCAACCCATTTAGTAAAGTAATCGATTGCCAACAGGATAAATCTGTGCCCGTTTGATGCGGCAGGCTCGATAGGTCCGATAACATCCATACCCCAGGCGACAAATGGCCACGGTGAGCTAGTTGCAGTAAGCTCGTTTGGAGGCACCTTTATCATGTCTGCATGTATCTGACAGCGATGGCATTTGCGAACATATTGGATACAGTCTGTTTCCATAGTCAGTCAAAAATACCATGCTCGGAGTATCTTCTTTGCTAAGACAAAACCATTCATGTGTGGTCTGCATGTCCCTGCGTGCACTTCATCTAATAGTCTGGATGCTT